ACACTATGATATGTTCCGAATAAACTTATTTGCGCCTAATCAACTTAAGAATTGTTCTTTAACCTATGGTTTATATATAGTATTATCAGTATTTGGTACTGTGCTAAATGCAAAATTAATCACATGAATGATTGAAATAACATGTGCTAAATGACATGAGATCGAACAATGTTTGTTTAAAATTTATTTTATAACTAGTTGCTCTTTTTAATACGCTTTTATTAGCTTCAGACGAGTGTATGTTTGTAACGGAATCTTTGAATATGATTTTGACCCCCTTCAAAACGTCGGATTAACTCGAAATTTGGTATACTTATTAAGGATCGACGACAATCGATTAATAAAAATAAAAAATTAAAACATTGAAATTCAACTAAAAAATTAAAAATAAATAATAGTTTAAAAAATCTAACAAAATACATTTTTATAAACTCGTTGGTATGTGGTTTCTATATATTTTCAGAAAAAAAACCTTTAAATGCGCAAGAGAAAGAAATTCAATTCTCAATATAATACTTTTCAATCCGCCATTTTTTTTAATTTCCAATATTATTGAAGGGTATTTTGAAAACAATGATCGTATGTATTCACAGAGCAACAGCTATTTTTAGCAAACACATAACATAGAGCTATTAGCTTAACACATATTTCCATTGGTCCTGGTTCTCACCGGCTATATGTTGACTTTATAAAACAACAAAGGCGAGCCAATTATCATTTCTGTGAACGGCGGTTTTTGTCTTAAATAATAAAGTGAATTGTTTGCTTTGAGATCAACCTTAAATGACAATAATACAGCGTTCTCTCTTGTCGTTTCAGTGTTCAAAATTGAGAAGCGCTTTTCAGTAGCGATCTGGAATGACTTTTGGCGTTCATGTAGAAAATTGCATCTCATAATAGTAATAAAAAGAAAACAAATTACTATCATTACTCTACAAATTAGCTAAGTCGTACAAGTAGTACCTAGATCTAATCTGGATTGCAATCTAAATGGTATATGCACTCAGGAAACCAGTATTAATGTAAATAACTTTGCTTATTAACAAAATTACAAATTACACATAAAAATAAAATTACGAGATCCAGGAAAAAAAACAAAATAAATGGTATCCACATAAGTAGACAACAATACAAACATTATATTGATGAAATTAATTATATATAGATATAAAATACCCAGAGATAGAAAAAAACACGTTTGTCTCTCGTTTGTCCGGTGCGAGAATCAATCCTTTTTACGACCTTTGGCCCAGTAGTTGGGGGGCTGGCTATTATGGTATCTAGTCAACCAATTCACCGAAAATTTGGATTGGGTGTGACTTTGACGCCGCTATTACATAAAAGTGTGATTTTTGAATTTCTGTTTAAAACAATAAATTCTGTTTTTTTTATTATTGATTTTATAGCTAGATAGCCCATAATAGTTTCACTCATTTAATTAAAGGATATATGTAAATTGTATGTGTATTTTTAAATAGATATCTTATATATTTTATAATAGCAAATAAAAAAATTATAAAAATGTAAATATTTCGTTAATTTTGGTTAAGTTAGAGAGCCTTAAATACTTGGAATTATCCAAAGTTCGATTTAAAGCTAGAATTTATTTCAGATTCAGACGTAGGATAGCTTCGCGATAGAACTAAGTAATTTATTATATAATGACCATAATCGATGACGACTCACAATATACCAATCAAAGTAGCTAGCATAAATTTTGTTGGGTAAATATGTAGTTATTCAATTAAAAACACACATCAGTCCCAGAATCAAATCCAGGAATAGCACAGTCGCATTACTATAGAATCCCTAACCATACTAGATTAATAATGCATCTCAAAGTATTTAAAATACGAAGCAAAACGACAGCTTTTAAAATAGCTAAAATGGTATTTATAAAGCAGACTTATGAAAGTGGTCAGAGTGTAGATGACCTAGTGGTGTCTAAAATTAACGCGTTTTTTCTACACTGATGACCGATGAGCAATACGTGTTCACCTTGTTCATGAATACTGTATTATTTGTATGGGAGCAAGGTTTTTTTTTCTTATTGTAATTATGTGCGTACAAACTCTATCCACTTGGTATAAAGTTGTTACCCGAGTCTATATTCATCACTACGTGAATGGGTCCATCCACCTTGAGATCTGAGATGCGCGTCTCAATTGTATAAAATAGCAGCTGTCCCACTTGAGTTTAGATAACTTTAATATAGAAAATGGTTAACGCTTAACTAATAATAGGTACCTGGAATCGTCTTATCGTGAAAATGAAAACCCAAGTCAAACTGCCAGATCTCAATTTACTATTTAGTTTGTTTTGTGTGAAATGAACGTCTAGATTTTTTTAAATAGAAAAATTACTGTATTTACGAGTAGAAAAAAAATTCAAATGTCGACGTTTAAAGAGGTAGGAGTACTCGAAATGATATAATGACAATAGAAAACGCGAGCTTAAACATTGAAACTATATAGTCTTAATTATGTCTACGATTCGCCAAAATCGCAGAGATATTTATATATTTAATGTCTTAACTTCTAGACTACAACTGAATAAATGTAATACTTTAAATATACAACTATAACTTTGTTATATTTATTTATGCTTTGCTCAGTAAAGCTCATAACTCTAATCGAGTATTCGGATTAACATATTCAGGTGTGAGAATTCTTCGTAAAGGACTTGTATAGAACTCGGACTGATAGACAAGTAAGTAGCTTAACCGTCATCGTCGCTTGTGCTTTTAACAACGTAAACCCGTCGCTGGCAAGTTTACTACAGTGAACTATTATGAATACTCTCCATTCTGACTAAAAAGTTTTTAGATAAACCTTTTAAAAATGAAACACTGGCTGGCGGAAAATCTGGATATTACAAAATTAAAGTTCCCTCCGCATCTTTAAAAGCTACGTAAAATACACATACTGAAGCAAAATAAATACTTTAATCGCAATTGGAACCAAAAGTAAATTAATAATTTTTAAACCTAAATGTCTATGGGCTCCAGTAATCACTTAACACCAGGTGGGCTGTGAGCTCGGCCACTCATCTAGCAAAAAAAAAACCTAGTAATTCTGGTCAGGATTCTAGGCCAAAGTAATAAACTTATTATAGGTCCATCGGTCTTAAATACATGTACAGATATTGAAGTGAATTGGATGTCTTGAAGTTGCGAAAATTACATTGGAAGATTTCGTTACATAGATACACAGGTCTATTAGAAAACTTTTTAATAAAATAAGATAGATTTATCTCGCCGAAAATTTTTGGATTGAGACCATTTTTGTGAGATGATTTTGTACGATTTTAAACGTCCACTAACATCGGAACAATCAATTAATATTTATAGAATGACATTCAAAGGTGGAGCACCTTCAAAGTCGACTTATTTTTGGTCTGAACACGGCCAAGTAACTTTGCAGAACAAAGAAATAGCACCCGTACAATCTCATGGGTAAATCCGTAGCTACAGTTTCGTGTCGGCACCATGAAATCTCTGAAGCGGCTTCGTTTCAATACGTAGCTATCTTTATGGGAGTGATAAAATTATGCATTCTGTTTTAAAATGCACCAAACCCTACATACCAAAGTATCTCAGATTTGAAATAATGTTTTCGTTACTATTCAGAGTTATTTACTTTAATGAAAGAGAAGAACATCAATGCTGCATGGTATGCTAGCAAATCATAAACTTTGATAACAGCCATGGCCATCACGATTTCTTAGAATTGTTTTTTTACGAACTTCAGACAATTGACAGGATTAATTGTAAATTATGTCAAGTTTGAGGAATATCGGTTGCCATTTTTATTAAATATATTAACTTAAATATATGGCACACTTTTAAGTTTTGATAGAAACTAACTTAGCAGTTCATCGTAAAGTAAATTGTAAACTAGAAAACATTCATTTGTATATTGGAATATGAATAAAATCGTCGCGAGTTTAGACTATGTTTCAACCACGCCTGTTAAAATTCTAAGAATGGACAACATTTTCAAACTATATTGTTTATAGGTATGAATTTGAAGTTCAATATTCTTTACAGGTATTCGAAGGAGTCATAAGCTGCTTTAATCATCATAAAATTGAGTAGGCATTCGGGCTGTGAGGTTGTTGCTATGTTTTTCGATAGTCCGTTCATGTTTTATGACTGGCAATCCCCATTAAAATAGGGACCTCGTATAAAACGAAACCGATGACATGTTTTTAGCAAAATTAAATATAAATATACCCACGTAATTGACTTAAAGTAGTTTAGTAGAATGTTAAGCTACTAAATAAAATGTTAACTGTAAATTACAAGTTTCATTACAAATTAACCCTAAACAAACTAAAATACGTTCTGGTTGGATATAATATCTGAGAACAAAACATTATAATGTGTATTTGTAAAGGGACTAAACACAAAATCAGTATTGATGTGCCAAATATATAATATAGTTATGTTAAGTATAATATAGATAGTTTTCATTGATAATATAGGTTAGTCAGATATGCTTTTGTTGTTCACAAGTCAAGCTAAATAGGAGACGATCCGTCTGACCTACATTCATAAGGATCATAGGCGTCATAGTTTGGCTCTTTCCCAAATTTGGAAATAAAATTACTCTTGAAACCTTGTTTTGCTAGCCATACTTTCGTAGAATGACTTAAGTTCGTAGCACGGTCGTAGTTGCCGTAACTGTTCAATCGCGGATATTTTAGCTCGACCCATTGTGTGGAATTACTTAGTTGATGATTTGGAATTTGTTTATTTTATATGATATATTATATCAGAGAAGAAAGCTGGAAATTATATAATCAGTCCGGTTTATTAAGTACTACGTAACGGTAAAATTAATCAATAGGTCTGGGTCAAATTAATTACAAATTATCTATGTATTACAGAACTCTTTGTGCCAATTGAGAAGAAATTAAACGTAAATATTCTATGGTTTGTGAAAATAGTAATTTCGATGGCGCTGCAATTAATTATAAATGTATTTAAATCATCTTACCTTCAGCACTCACACTGCTATATCGATTGCTACCACCAGCGCTGTCCACCAGTCAGCAAAGTAAATCAAAGGAAAAAAAAAACACAAAAAAAACATTAAACGTTCACACTACTCAATTATTGCGAACCGGCAAAGGCCACAACGGTCCATTTTCACAAATAAAATTCGAAATCTGTATGAATTAAAAATAAGTGGTAGATGAAATGTTCCAATAATAAATAAAATGCGAATTTACTACAATTTCTTGAGAAATATGATAGAGCGCGCACCGCGGAAAAGTTACGTCGCTTTACGTTTTCCCATCCCGTAGGCGCGCAACGGGCGAAACTTTTGAGCGTAGCGTCAGAAGGCGAGTGTGCTTTTGTTACGCAATTCACTGCGGCGCGAGTCCACCAGGGGGCAGCGCGCCTCCTAGTGGCGCAGTGGCGGGCATGCGCATTATAGACTGACACTCGCCGCGTCGCGCTACCGGCTACTGCCAATCAACACACCGTCATAAATCTTCGCTTACAACTCACCATTCATTGTTCTTCACAGATATATTTATTGGTGGTCAATTTCAGTTAAATGATAACATTCGGGGTTGATATCCATCATTAAGCACGAGATATTCTGAATAAAATAACGTACCATTACGAAACTTACAGTTTGGTTTAGGTATTTATAGAATCAAATGGTTAGTCGATACAAGGACGAAGGCTGAGGCCGAGGTTCTAACAAAGACCTCGCGCGAATTAACTATAAAAGTAGTCTATTGTACCTTGCTTATAATTTTGTGTTTTCGTTAAATAACCTTTTAAAGATAATATGTATTGAAAACTTTATGTCGTCAAATTTTAAAACGGGTATTTAATTTTTTTAAGAGCGAAGCTTTATTCCACCTTGTGATAATGAGATTTTACACATAAGCAAGGCTTTTCTACCGTGATCGACATTTCTCTAGTCATATTAGTGTTTTGAAAAATTGTAATTATGAAATTTTGGGGAGCTATTTTTAAAATAATAATTTATTTCAATCCATTTTTTCTTTTCATATTTTCATCCGGAAGTTTTGCTATTTGGGCGTTCGCCAAAATTGCTTAGACGAATTTCTGTCAACCCAGTTATCAAACACTTGAAAAGAGAATGTCGATCGGTTTGTCAATAGTTTCGTCTCCAACCGACTTATCGACACGCAGCGAATGGATCGGAAGATGTCCAACAGGCTGGACGCTGTTGATTGCGCATTTGTACCGCTTTTCCTTATGGGGGGTGTTCTCCTAGCAACTTCGTTTTTTTAGTACCTACCTATGTTGATGTGTGAAGGGTAAGCGCAAGAAACTGTTGAGGTGAGGCGAAGAAGATTCCGGTTAGAATTCGGACACCCACCCGGTCTACAATAGACCAAAGGGATCGATGATAACAATATTATGTTAATATTTATAGCATGCTCTGTGGATGACTGACTATACGTCTGATAAGCGTGAATTTGGACGCCAAAAACATTATGACAATAGTTTGGCGCCAAACTCATACAACGAAATTCAGTGTCATGTACATTTCGGCATGATGCTCGGTCTTTGGATTTCGTCGATTTTACGTTTGTTTACCGATTTTATTTTTTGTTAAGTCAGTGATTGAAAGGGGTATTACTCTTACCTCTGGGCTGAGACTCCCTATTAACAACTGCCTTCATTTGACACCAAAAAACGATGAGCCGTTGAAATCGTATCGCAACATAATGAATGGTTTCGAAATGGTTAGCATACTGTGCGCTTTACCATTTAGTTCATGGCACGTGTTCCTTCAAGCTAATGACATGCTAATGAAGATAAAACCGAAATCCTACATTTTATCACCATACACTTCGCAAGCATAGTTAAGTTCGTAAGAAAAAGAAGAAAGGGAAAAACTATCAGAATTGATACACACATTTATCTGACATATGGTTTAAGATACATTCCACTTAATACGCGACATTTCTTTTTGTATTTAAAAGTTTTATTTGGTATTAGCATAAGCAATTTGTTGTTTTTAATTTAACTTCAAATAATTTGACCGCAATCAAATAGCTGAAGAATTTTTTTGTTATGATATTTTTTCCAAATTTTTTACCTGTAAATTGGCTCTTCTCTACGGTTGCCTTTAAAAACCAAACTGCCTTTCACCCCTCGATAATAATATGTTTTTTGTCACCAAGCACATATAGAGAAATTTGGTTCCGAAATTATTATACATGCAACTACTAGCACTGATTTATTTATTTATTTATTTATTTATTTAATTAGTCTACTATATAGTGATATATAGCACTGAACGTGCTGCATACTGTTATTATGTTAATATCACTAGAGAATTTTCAAAAGTTTTTGGGACTATATACCTATTGTGTTTATATAATATCTAGTAATACTACATACCATACCGGTAATGATATGGTAATGAAATACATAATCGAATACCCGCAGTTTTTCGTACATTATAATCAAAAGTAATGAACTATACTATATAAATACATATTTAATTTTTTAACACTAAAAGTCCGACTGGCGCATGGCCGGGCTTTTGTGACTTTTTGTGTGGGTTTCTGTGAGTTCGGTGCTCCGGGCTGTTTGCGAAGAGGATATGGAAATGATGTTAACACTGAATTGGATAAGATTTTAATAGAAAGCGACACAATTAACTAAAATAAACAAAATGAGTTGCGAAAAGTACCGAAAGGTAAGGTTAACAATGTTTTGCCGGTCGTCTTCGCGCGCGCCGAGGCGCGTGTTTTTTTTTATTGCTTGGGTAGGTGGACGTGCTCACAGCCCACCTGGTGCTAAGTGGTTACTGGAGCCCATAGACATCTACAACGTAAATGCGCCACCCACCTTGATACGTGTTCCCCAGCTCAGAGTTTTGTCTCAGCGCGGGGTAAGGCGGCGGCGGAGGCGGTATCGCACGTTCCGATATTTGGTTTCGTTATAATTTTGATTTAAAATACGATACTTTTTTGTCCGACCTATTAATATTATTTTAGGTTTAAAATTTAAAAAAGTTGAAATTTTTAAATAGAATTCTTTCTTATGCATTTGGCTAATTTTGTCATGTGACGAAATTACGTAGGTAATGAATTTACGATAGAATGCCAAGTTTTATTTTATTTTTACAGTCTTTTGTAATTATACAATCATGTATGTACGATGTCATAAAATAGACTTTTAGTTTTATATGATGTCAACACCCATGGGCGTAATGAAAATAGCATAAGGCTTTTGAAATATTCATTAATATTGATTATTGGGTCCTGGAAATATATTTGAATACCTAATAGTTATTGAAACAAATAATTTTCACAATGACAGGGTAAACCGACAGTTTCGTTCCGACTGACTGACTCATTGGGCCGACTCTTTTTTTTTCTTCTTACCGATGCTGATAGCCTAGAGAGGCTATTTCAGCTTCTCTTTGACATGTAGGTGAGCTCACGGGGCTCAAACCGGAGTGTTGCTAACACTGGCCCTAGCAAAAGCAGTGCTTCGCAGAATCTACCACCGGATCGGAAACGCGACCCAGTAAGAAGATTCGGCCAGAAACTCAGTGGGTTGTGTCTATGGGTTAATTTACTCGTCGAGCTCTTCGTCGCAAGCGATGGGTTTGGCGAGGACGGTGACCGGTGCTTGAGGTACTTCAAAGCACCGTTAATGGATTGGGAGGATCCGTAATGACGTATTTAGGGTGACGTCGACTGTTTACCATTCGGTCCACAGGATCGGGTATGTGAGGCCTACTCTGTCCACGTACCGCCACTCTATACTTTGGCGTTACGGTGTCTACTCTACATTTTTCTGATATTTATCAAAACAACATTTTATCATCTATCATCTATCTATATAAAATATGTAAAAATCAATTGCTGTTCGTTAGTCTCGCTAAAACTCGAGAACGGCTGGACCGATATGGTTAATTTTGGTCTTGAATTATTTGTGGGAGTCGCAGAGAAGGTTTAAAAGGTAGATAAATATGAAAACGCTCGGAATTAAATAAAAATAACAATTTTGTTTTTCTTATGATGTGTCCCCCGTCGGACGGATTCCTTTTGTTTGTTTTAAGTTTATTTTATACAAAAGTTTAGGTATTTTATTTATCGATTGAGGTACTACGAAGTCTGCCGGCTCAGCTAGTTTATAATAATAATTAAAACAATGTCTTCATATTACTAAAGTCGTTATCCACGACATATATAAATATTAGAGCGAATGCCGATAAAAATAATAATTAAAACAGTATTTTTTTATAAGAAAAAAAAAAACTATTAAAATTAACAATATTTTTAGAAACACAGGTGTTAGAGATTCAGATCCGAAACCAGAACGAAATTATATGTATCTATGTATAATAGGCAGGTATATCACCGCAACGAGATCGGAAAACAGTGTTCATTTGCCAAAGTTATCTGAGCCCCTACACGTTCGGTGAATCTAGTTTATCCCCTCGAGGGTACTAGCCAATAGGTAGGCAAAAAAAGAGTGATCGCACACTATCGTTTGAGAAAATTAGTTATTTTATATAGGTATGATGTGACCGTTTTCAAAGCTGAAACGTAGTTCCGTGAACGGAAAACATTCACAAAAACAATCCAATGACTAAAGTAATAAATAAATACTTATTGTTTCAATCGGTTTAAATTTTAAAACCACCCAAAATAATTTGGAGGCAGGTAGACCCCTTGCATCGTATAAAGCCGTATCTGCGTTGTCATGAACTAAAACACAAGAAGTCTGGAGTATTTGTATCAAGCGATGTAAGTATGCCGTCTATAAGACTCGCCTGGCTGCGGCAGCCAGATGAATATATGGCGTTGTATGGGAGTCCGTGCACATAAGCAGCCCGGAAGTCTTGGCTGCGGCAGCCAATACAACGGGCCTGTTGCATCAGCCCATTGGCTGTGCGTAGCCAGAGCGAGTGTTGGCAAATGTATTTGGCTGCTGTTAGTTCCCGCACACTTGCTGCTTTATTTATTTTTTTAATTGCTTAGATGTTTGGATGAGCTCATAGCCTACCTGCTGTTAAGTGGTTACTGGAGCCCATAGACATTTACAACGTAAATGCGCCACTAACTCTGAGATACAAGTTCTAAGGTCTCAGTATAGTTAGCCAATGCATATTCGTTTTGCCGAATGCCAGTTATATGACACAGCATGCTTGTACAATCTCTTGTATTTAAAAAAACCGGTCTGGGTATGTATGAACATTTTTAAAATAGTTATAGAATAAGCCCTTTGTGTGCCGTTCTAGAAAAAGAGTATGAATCTAGTGTATTTTCTTTGCTTTGCGTTTTTTACGAGATGAAAGTCCAAATCGCTCGACGTAAGGATCATAAATAGGCGTCGATTGGCTTCTATATCAGGCTGCCTATTGCGCGGGGAGCATACATCCTCCATACAGATTGTTTTAATATGATGTACCTGGCCCATTTTCACGTAGACTTCCACGATGAAGGAATAACCGTATGTAATGAAAATCCAACCGCGGTTATTAAACAATTGAAACATAGGAGAGAGGTCTCAAGGTGCGTGGCATTGAAGTTGTGATCTCAATGAGCACCGGTAACCATTTAACACGAGATCGTGAGCGCGTAGTTGTTTTAAGGTCATGAAAGGTTGAAATGAAAGATACCATTTTATTTACACACTTTATTGAACTAACGTAATAAAAACAAACATTATTTATATTATTATTGAAATGAACTTCGACGACAGTATACTGTAACCGCAAGAACATTTTTATATTGTAACATTAATCAATTCTCAAAACGGTTAGATATGTCGACAATTCAATCGATATTTAATATGTAATATGATATATTCTTATTATTCACTAAGCAAATTCAGAGTATAATGTGAGTTATTTTATTTCAAATGTGTAGATGTGAAAATTATTTTGCATTTAAACTTTTTTTTTGTCTAAAGATGCGGATATGAATTTGACACGTGTTAAGTGACAGAATAATTGAATTCTACCTATTCCAAATAAAAATTCGGTTCTTTTGCTCTATGGCTCGTCAGTCTGGTCGCCGTCCGAAGTAATAGGTCTTCCACAAATTTGCCTATCTCAAATTTATTTAAAACTTGATTATCAGCAGTAGGGTCTTATGAGCCCGCATGGTTAATACAGTCAAGATCATTTCAGTCGCGACGAAGACAAGTTTTCGGGTTTACCGGATAAAGCATATCCATGCAATTCCAATGCAATTAAGACTGTCTGTCTAAGAGAATGACTTGCGGGGGACGACATTTAGATGGTGGTTTAAGAGCTCCGGCAACCGCTTAAAATAAAATGCTTATAAATTAAGTTATCGTCTGTTAATTTTATTCACCACACATCGAGTATTTTAAAAACTAAATTACTTAATGAGCATCTACGGCAAATAAAAATATTATTGCATTTCTGATATTATTTTTAAAGAGATTATAAAAAAGAACATTGACGGTTTTTTTTATTGCCCTTGTAGGCAGACGAGCATACGGTCCACCTGATGGTGATTGGTTACCGTCGCCCATGGGCTTCAGCAATGCCAGGGGCAGAGCCAAGCCGCTGCCTAGCGTAAACCGTTTCAATCGGATGCTGATTAATTATTAAAAAATCCGGATTTTCCTACTATTCTGTATTGACGTGGCATAAGAGATTTAAAAAGTCCGCATAATATAATTTTTAGTTTTGGCACAGATTTTGTATCAACGCAAATATAATATACCGTAATTAGAAATTGAGTGTATTTATTTCTCGGACTGTATCGAGGCCACGAAGAATTTTCGAGGGCTTACTCTTATTAATAAGTTTCTTTTGTTATTAAATTTGTCGTTTTTGTTTACAAATTTTCTTTATTTGGAATAAAATTGTACTACTCTTTCATATATATGTGAAACGAGCTAAATTTCCAATATCTGATTATATTGCTTAACAAAAAAATTAAATGCTTTTAAACTGCTTTTAGACGGGAATCTATTCTAAGAAAAATAAAATTGCAATAGTGTAAACATACATTGAAAATACACTAATTACACCAGTGAGTGCTTTGGACCTATTTTTCAGTCATTAAACGAGGTTAATTTCTCACTGGAAAAAAAGTAATTCAGTACAGCATTGCCGGTCCTAACTAGATTAGTGCAACAAAACTACGTTCACTTCAACTAAATTTATTTTTGAAATTCACTGACAATTCCAAATATTAATAAATGAAAACATTCCAAGAGCGCGTGGGTTGTCTTTTAAAAATGTTTTCTACATTCCGCTTATTCTATAACTTACAAATCTAACATTGAAATTTATTGATCGAGAATTGAACAAAGAATAAATACTTAAATTATTCAAGTTAATCTATTAATGTTTAAAAAACCGAATTAACAGTGTTCATAAAACTGTACTAATAAAACGTTTTAATGTTTTTACCCTGGTTGACTACAGGTATTAAGTTCAGTATTATTTTAGATATTATCATGTCAATAAAAGGGATATAAGCAAATATAATATTGAATATAGTATATGCATAACAAATTACACAACCCTCATTACCCATTCATCTCAAACCTGCATGTGGAACACGACTTCAAACACGAAACAAAAAATCTTTGTCTTTTACACTTGCAATATTCAAGTTAATGTTCATTAGTTTTATTGTGTAATCATTATTGTGTTCATTATGTAACGATAAATTGTGAACGTTACACTTATAAGTTTCAAATGTTATATTAGTTTCAGACATCACTTGAGAATACTGTTCAAAATGGTGCATTAAAATTTTAAAAATTCGAGTGCTAAAACACGAACGCTTTAAAAAAAATTGCTATTAAATTTAATTTTTTTAATTTGCTAGAATTGAATTTTAATTACACTATTATACACGCAGTCCGACCCTGTCAATAAAGGCTAATATCATTTAAAGTAAAAAAAAAAGTTCGGTTATAATAATAAGTGTAATGTTTCAAGCGAAATAATATGTGGCAGAATGAGAACAAGAGGCACCGGGTTTGGTTCATGAACACACATTTATGAAAAAAAAAAACTTACACACAAACTCGCACACGTCCGCAGTGATGACAATCGGCAATTACGCCGATTTGAAATTAACATTGTGAATCAGCTCACCTTCGTAATATGGCACCGATATTAACTTCATAAACACATTTGAGTAACCTATGTATTATTGACATATCGAATCTTAGAGAGACTTCGTCAATATTCAGATCCAAACAAGGTCTATACACACATTTGTATATTATGCGCATATTTTAATGTTGTTTATTTGTTCAACAAAATAAACTAATTACTTGAAGCCTAGCTTACATCAACATTCAGATAATTGAGCAAATCAAAATAACAGTAACAATACTAATGACACATAAATGTTAATCTAAACACTTCGATCAATAATAGTAGTATTATTGATCGAAGTCTAAACACGAGTATAATTAAAAATACAGACTGTCTTTATCCTTAAAACAATAAAGTGTAAATCAGAAGACAAATTATTTCTTACAATATTGTCATTGTATTGATTAATTTTTATGACAAAGTCATTGATATTAGAATCTGAAAGTATTTACGTCACAATTTCCTGGTCGCAATACGATAAAAAAAATGAGTCAATAAGGGTCGAAACACATGTGCCGCTAATTTGTCTGTTTACGTGGAATTCGTTTTAATCATCGAACTTGTGCATAGAATAGATGTCACCGCTTTTTTTCAAAGCTTTTCATAAATACAAAAACTCATTATTTTAATTTTAACCGTTAAAACAGTACGCCGTACTAAAACATTTACATTAAGAGTAACATACGTTGCTGATTGAAAGCCAAGAAATACAGAACAAATGCGACCGAGGACCGACATAGATTCCGTCAGATGTGCTTCGGCCCTAAGCCGCATCGCAACAGTTGCTACTTGCTGTCGACGGTATCCAGTACAAAGGTGCACTAAGGTCCATAGCACGCGGCGTATTTTAAACGCGCAGTCGACGCGCGTATTTGCGCTTCAAATGCGCAGTGATCGTGAAGCGCGCGTCTACTGCGTGTATACGCGCAGATACAGCGATATAGACGCGTTGTAGTTGCTCGTAGATTCTACGTTTTGATCAGATTAGTTCAGTTGTACAATGGCGATGACGTCAGCGCGTGCCCCTCCTCTACACTCCTTCGTACGCGCTTCAAACGCGATACGTATAGCGTTTTACGCGTGTTTGAGTCTATGCAAACGCAAAAATCGGCATCTATGGCGCAGACGACGTGCGTTCCTGAAACACGTGTCGTCTGCGCGTTTTAAATGCGCCGTGTGCTAGGGGCCTAACAGACTACCCGCGCTATCGACGAACGACTTCCTTAGTGCGACAATTTGACGTAGCTTTATGCACAAAAGTGCCTCAAAAACTTACAACTAAGAAATCTCTCTTCATTAAACGTGTTTACTTTTCCTTACATTAAATTCGCCTATTTCTCCTACACGATTACTCTATTCACCTGTGTGGTACTTACAATACAAAGCTCTATACACTGTCTTAATTGCAATTAATTACCGTATTTTAATTGATTTTATCAAAATAATTATTGCTAATTTAGTGAAACGTCACCACACGAAATTGATTAAAATAATTTAACAAGAACGAATTTAAAAAATAAATAAATCAATAACTTAAAATATCCAATAGCACATAAAATGAGTAATAATTTTGACTAGAATTAATAATTTTTTTAATTGAATGTGAAAAGATAAAAGTTTGACTAGTACTACAATTTAAACAAATAAAACAAAATATAGGTACTAATTTCATTCGTCCAAAAATATCAAACATTAGACACAACTTTGGCACAATCCTAAATTTTACTTTATTCAAATACTGAAGGGGAAGACACGGGGAGTGATATATTATTGGGATATGTATCGATACTAATTATTCGATATTACTATAATTTAGTCTAATTGCATTATCTTAAATACTAGGGTGCAAAATTAGGTTTATTATTTTTTGTGGATATATTTATATATATATTTTTAAAATTTCAAATATATTTAAATTTAGTTAAATAGAAATGTTTACAAAATTAATGAAAATACTTTGAAGTAAATTTTCTTTTACAAACATTAAGTCAATATTTGGCACACGTAATTTCCTAAGTGTTGCGGTACCGGTAGCATGTAGGTACAATTCGAAAGAGAAAGCTTGGGAAGAATGGTCTTAGATATTCTAAATCTCTATTAAGCTAAATCTTTTTTTTTTTATATACCGAATACGTAAATACCACAGGTTTACCTATTTACTTTCAAACTACATCTAAATATAGTGAGCAGTCTGGAGAGGGTGTTCCAAATAAATAGTATATTTCCTAACACTGATTACTCTCACAATAATTTAGCATAAATTCACAACATCAATAATGTCAAACAAACTTTAACAATCTTTGGCTTTGATCCCTAGACCAATTTTTATTCGACTTAATTTCGCCGATGTACATACACAAAGTGTACGTAATAATAATAATAATAATATGTAAGAGATCTCTAATTATTAATAGTTCGAATGTAAACTAAATTAGAAGACTATCACATTTAGCAACACTATTTTATATAACTAACGTCTTTTTTTTTTGTGATTACGATTTAAATTTCAGTACGTAATATATCTGTAATGTTACGTTTCGCCTCTGTCTTCCGTTTTTAATGTAAGTTTCTTAAAGGATTTGATCCCACCGGTTTCGTATCGTCGAGCCGCATTCGAGCGACAAACATTACTGTAATACCTAATTTTGCAGGCTGTTACGATTATTTTATGTACAAATATTGTCTTTAAAACCCTCTCGCTCTGTCATCTAGTCTACTCTACGCTACGTCAGCAGAGGCGAGGTCGTTTGTAACGCATCTACAGCTAATGTGCGACATTCGACACTCACTCGTGCGGTCTGAACATAGTCAAGGACCATACGTCAGGGCTAAAGGGCAACAGGTCTGGAAGAAACATTAATTTGTTTACCCAAAGTCACGTGTTTCAGAGTTGCTGCACTTTAGACCCCGAACAATCGTTATGGTCTGTACGGTTCGTGATTGTAAATTTTACGTGACAGATAATAATCGATACTGAACCGCTTAAATCCGTAGTAAATTCGATCTCCTTAGCTAACATTTCGTTCATATTAAAATTCGCGATCAGTGAACGAACTATGAAGCGGTTCGATCAGACCGACGAAATGATTCGTTTACAAAAGTTAGTTCACCGATCGCGGAGTCAATAATTTTTTAATAATGTCAGTCGATTTTAAAATATGTTATTTTGTTACCAAAATTTTTCATTTCGTCTCTCCAACTGACACGACATTTATCGATTAATTTCAATACAGTGGAGGATAAATATAAGAATATCTAAAATACATATAACTCGTAACAAATGTAAACATACTTTTACGCTCGGCATGAATCCAGTGTGCGGCCCCATTTTGTACCTTGGAGATTGTTCGATATCTAGATTCATTTGAAGAAGTATATTGGAGCCAGAGTTCCGTACTGCGGCGGCATATAATACGAGCGTTCCGCGTTGTACACGTTGTATGCAATACCAGAACTCTGACCGCGAAGCCCCATTCAATGTATCGGCGCTTTCACTATGTGATTCGGAGCGATGTAGTGGTAGCCGGGCAGCGGGAGGCCGGCCGTCTCCATCGTGATCCTGAAACGCATACATTGCGCGCTCATTACAACTATAAGCATACATTGCGCGTTCATACGTACTACTAAATATATCGTACAGTTAAAACGTTACAAGAAACACGAACAGCAGAAGGATTCGACAGGGTGCGCATAAAGGAAATCATTAATTTGAGAATGGTAGAATATTTGATGGAATTTTCTAGGAATAAACATATTGTATAGGAAAATTCTTACCAAGGTTATTTGGGTGATCCGGTGAGCTTGTAGGATGAAGGTACTCGATGGACCGGTCGGCGTTTCAGGTTACGGGGTAGGCAGGATAGTGGCGTGGGTTCTTGAAGGGGAGGCTTTTGGACTGTTTGAATTATTTATTTACCTGCACTCAATGTGTAACGCAAACATGTTAAACCAGTCAACTAGCATACATTGAAAACAAAAAAAAATGAAATCACACACCCATTTCTATATTATTTTATTTAATTACTATTAAAATAATACACTTTTACTTATATATTCTAGCGAATAAAAATATGTTCCTGCAAAGATACGAAAATGTTACCTTAAAAATTAACATGATTTCAATAATTATAAATTAAAAAAAAAGACCGATTCCGTCGCGCCTCCTATGGAGCTACTACAAGAAACATACGAATTGGACCTCCATTTTTAAATTCGCACTAATTAATATAAAATATTAATACAGGCAGACAACGTTATCATGGCATAGGCATGTCATTAACTACACCTCCGACACAATGAATACGTTCTCTGTCTGTACCGTACGAGATACCCTAGGTAAATACAAACAGTCCAGTGATTCAACTAGAGAATCGTCAACAGCATAACATTATAAAACACCTAAATAATGCAAAATACAAAAACGCTTCGATTCACTGTGTGGAAAAAAAAGTTATCAGTACTTCCTCGCGGGTTATATGTCAACAAAATCGTGATTAATTAAATCAATGCTATATTATAAATAAAACGTGATGAAGTTTACCTAAATTTATATTTATAGCAATTCTTTTGGTCAACATAAAAAAAATAAACTAGCCAAAGCAAACAAAGGACATTTTTTATATAAAAAAAAAAAACAAATTAATATGATTTACTCTCCTTATTGTAGTTACAAAAATGTTAAAAGACACTTTTTTCTATCTAATCTCTAGCGATTATTTATTGCTGTTTTTCACTTACCTAAAATTAATACGCAGCCTGAACAATTATTATTGTTGAAAGAAATACGATATTAATATTTACAATCAATTTTATACGCACTGATACTATTAGAGTACTTTTTTAGGTGACACCTACTTCTTCATTTATGCTTTTCCTGCTGTCTGTACAATGTGTTGTCTAAATTAGTGAAATAGAGTCATGACTTTGGAAAATTACTAAGGAATAACACTTTAAAACGAACTGTACGGATATTTGTCAAAGATGCACATAACGGTTTGTAACATCATGAATTATGGCGCGGAGAGAATGAGAAAAAGCTAGTGATCTCGGGTTTATACTATATTATTGTATAGTATCGAATTCATACCCAATAATCGATTAAATGGTAGCTATCTCGGTAGACAATAATATTAGTAATAGAAAGGTGCCAACAACAAAAAACCTGCCATGTAATAGTGTGCCTGAAATATCTATAAAGATTTAATAGGGCTCACTTAGTTTAAAAATTCGTAAAAAAAACACGCGTAAGTAGCAAGCTAAACTAAAAATTAATTTCATCTTTTTTATATCCTGTCGGTATTGGAGTTATGAAGTTATTGTATTGACATTAACCCTTGATGCGGGTGCAAATTATAAACTTAATGGGTATTAGTTTTGAAGTCGGTGAAAAGGATATTTGAAAATTCTGTTACATACAAACAAACATGCCTTAACAAGCCAACAAAAGCGTGTTATAATTGTATCTTAGCTACACCTTAATATTTTTTTGTTATTATGAGTGATTTAGTGGTGAATTTTCTGTATAGTGTAACCTGATCGAACCCTTTGGAATTAATTTAATTTTAAAACTACAAAAACCTAAGGAGGAAGAAATTTCACGACATAATAAATTCATGTCATTCAACAGTCCTGTTAGAAACCTTCTTCATTAACGTTTAAAGATCTGCATAGATTCATTTCGGGAAGACCATGTCACGCTGTAATTATACATCGAATATCTCAGTTTTATAACAAATAATATCTCTTTATTTACATACATTTCATACGCGAAGCTTAATGTAATTTACAGCGCTTCAGCCTCTACGTATTTGCCTACTATTGTCAAGATTTCTAGTTGATATTCATTTGTTGCCCGATCGGACGAACAGGGTTTCCATATCAGGAATTCCGTTTTATTTTATTTTTTTAATATTCTGCTTAAATGTTCGCTTAAGTGTACGCTATATTTGTATTGTATACTAGCGACCCGCCCTCGCTTCGCTTCGGAAACATTAAATTTTATTATTGATAGGCGAGTCCCGCCATGTTGCGCGCGATACGACAATAACTGCGGGTGACGCCGCGGGGCGAAGCTAGTATAAAAAGCTAGCTATTAGTGAAAGTCTCGTCAAAATCTGTCCAACCGTTCCAGAGATTAGCCGGAACAAACAAACAGACAGACAGACAAAAATTGTAAAAAATGTTATTTTTCATAATCATGTAGTAAAAAGCGGTTATTTCAATATTACAAACAGACACTTTAATTTTATTTATTTATGTATAGATTTCAATGCGTGTTGTTGATATTGATTACGAAGACGGAATTCCTGAACTAGAGACCGGACATGTGCGGCCGTTGGAACACGGTTAATGTAAAATATCAGAAAGAACTCAGCTATATAATTAATCACCAAATAATGATTAATGTTTTCCTTTTTTAATGATACTTTCATTTCAATGATTTTATTGTTCTTTTTTTTAACATTATTTATTTTACTGCAAAACTTTAATTTTCATGAGAAGAAGTAATTAAAACATTTAAATACGAATGCGACACGGAATTAGCTGAGTTCTGTGTGAGTTTTTTATATATAAGTTTGATTTCAATATACAAGGATTTCGTCATCTTAAAATGATTAAGTTTTTAAATTTTGTACTGATTTACCGTCATTATAATTATACACAGTGTGTGCGTTTATATTTCAATATATCTATATTCGTTTTCTCTTTAGTTCAGTAAAGTATTAACTAAAACTAATAGTTGTGTAATTAATATTAAAAATACGATTTGGCTGTCGTCCATTCTTAAATGTGTAAATGATTATAGTTAATGTGTTTCTAAGTCACGAATACTATTTGATATGAAATGAATTAATGAGAAAAAAATGAGAAAAATCGTGCTGTTAAACCGGACGTAAATGTCGACGAGATCTTTCTGTGAACTCAATAAATATTAATAATTTTAAATAAATTATAATAAGAGATTACAATTAATGTAATGTTTAATGAACTAGTTGAAATTGTGAAGTGATTCGGGGAACGAAAACCTAACGAAGCTCTCAATCAGATTTTGGTCGTCGCGACTCCCAAACAACCGGTTAGCGGTCGCGACGGAGCGAGTCCGGCGGCACGGCCTCGCGCTCGTCCTCAGTACGGGTTGTACTTGTTGCGTTCCTTGGAGTTCTTGGCGGGCGGGTCGTCGTCCTGGCGGCGCTTGTGCGAGCGGTGCACGCCGGTGGTCTGCACGGGCGGCGTGCCCGCCAGCAGCTCCGTGAGCCCCCCCAGCGCCGACAGCGAGCTCAGCGCCCCGAGCGCGCCGCTCTTGCTCAGCAGCTGCGCGAGCGGGATGGCCGAGGCGAGCGGCCCCGCGCCCGACGAGCCGGCGCCCGCCCCCGCGCCCCCCGTCCCAGCGCCCCCCGACCCCGCGCTCCCGCCGCCGCTCTCCAAGTTCGCCTTCTGTAGCTCCACACTGCCAGACCGGGACAGGAACAAGTGAGGGATTGGACGGACGGACGATACGAACTTGACTCGAGATTCCGCGCTAGGGACGCTCTTTCGAGACACAGCGGCGCATTTAATCGACTTATTCAAAGTTATCGATAACCAAAACACGTATCGTATAACATCATTTATTAAGATACGAGTATCTTATATGACTATTCATTGCATCGATGGTTTTTAAAGATTTATATTAATTACATAGCATTAAAAATGAACAATCTCGAATCAACTATCGTATTAAATTCAAATTAAATCAAATTAAATTTGGAAAGGGTCCACAAGGTACAGACGTTTTAGGAAACAACAGGATGTAAGATAATCATCGTCACAGATGGACTAGGCGTGTTAATGTTGGATGAAATAAGGCTATTTCGATCGGACTGTGGATGGATATCCGCGTGGAGGAACATTCGTTACACACCTGCTAGTCAGAAATGTAGTGATGTAGGACTCACCTCATGTTGATGAGGTACTGCGCCAGCGCCACCGAGTCGGGGTTGCCAGTTATAGTGATGGTCCGGTCGGTGCTACCGCCCTCGCGCTCCTCGCAGTTGGATATCCTGATCATTGCGCCGGATATTTGACGGATTTCAGCTATCTTGGTGCCGCCCTGAAATGTACAAATACATATTGTTTCATTGAGTATTCTTTTTTTATGATTGAAAGATTACTGGTGGCCCGGAGCCTTTTCCAGTTTTATCAGGACAGGTGGGCGAGTAGAAGCTCAGCCAGGAGGGGTGGGATTTGCTAACAACTGCCCGAGCGCCTCCGAAGGAGACATGACAACTCAAGGAGCAGCTGCTTCGCGAATGAAATTGAGTAGTCATTAGCAGCTCGATAACCATGTAAATTCTTTTCGATTAAAACATTTACGAATTAAGCAAGTCTTTAGCATTATTATATTTAACGAGTTACATTTCATTGGTTGAACGTCAATTTGACGCCTAAAAAAAAATTTCAATATATATTTTTTTATTGCTTAGTTGAGTGAACGAGCTCACAGCCCACCTAGTGTGAAGTAGTTACTGGAACCCGTAGACATCTACAACGTAAGTGCTCTTCCCATCTTGAAATATAAGTTCTAAAGTCTCAAGTATAGTTACGACGGCTGCCCCACCCTTCAAACCGAAACGCATTACTGCTTCACGGCAGAAATAGGCAGGGTGGTGGTACCTACCCGCGCGGACTCACAAGAGGTCCTACCACCAGTAAATAATATGTTAATCTGTCGTCCAACAATTTTCAACAGTTCGTTGTACGCGCTAATGTTCATCAATATATATTATACGGGCAGTTTAATTCACCTTTCCGATGATGCACCCGATGAGCTCATTGGGCACGGTCATCTCGTGCGACTGCTGGTTGGTGGCGGGCTGGTTGCGGGACTGGTTTGTGGTGCGCAGCTGCGAGCCGGCCAGAGCCGCCAGTGCTGGGAGAGCGGACACTTGCGCCATTAATAAATATCCAGTTAGTTTTTATGTTATCACCAAAACTGTTCGTTTTCTTACAGCTAACGCTATCTATGCCTGAATAAGCAATGACAAAAAAAACGATTTTCTCGGATCTGTTTTGTTTAGTCGCTATTAACAAGTGACAACTTAGTGACTTTTTTTTCTCTTCTAAATGTCGACTTTTTGGCGGGAACGCGAGGAGTGAGGTTGTGTGATTTATTTTATTTTGTCTATTTACTGTTTCTTCAGGTTTAAATGTGTAATAACGGTGATTTATTAATATCTGTGAAAGTGCACAAATGTGGGAAAATGAAACAATGCCGCTGGACGTAGCCTCTTTGGGATCCTCCAAAAAGTCCACTGAAAGAATCTCAGTAAATCACCACCATTTTACTGAGATTATATTTCATCCCATATCATCTCATCTCATTTCATTTGATTTCATCCCAGTTGATTAATATCTCAAGTTAATCATCTTCATTTCGTTTCATAATTTTTCATAAAAATAAGATTATAAATTAAAATAAGACATGACTTAAAGGTCTTAGTTACCGGGTCATAAAATCCCTTAAAAAATCTTCTAAATGTCAATATTAAAACCACAGAAAATATAATATGCAAAACGAATCTAAATCTTAAAGCATCGGTGATTAAGATCGAAATTCAATCATTTATTGTAACACTAGTTATTATAAAATTGAATTTTGAATGTATGGAAGCGTTTTCCAAAAAGGGTAACAATGTGGTGATTAGGTCACCGCGGTTACATTATTTAGACTTGTGCATTATAAAAAAAATATAAATTAAACGTTTTTTTCTTGAAAAGCGTAAAGCCTCATAGAAAACTAATTGACTTGAATTTGTAAAAAGATATATTTGTAAATAGAGAATTACCACATTTTCTATTTATTTCTTTTTAGTAGGTACTTACCAGCAGGATTTAATCCTGCAGCATTTCCAGGTCCGAGCCCACCGAGGCCCAGGGCAGCGAGACTGGCCAACGGCGACTTAGCGAGCCCTCCCATCTATGAAATCAAACAACAAATATTACGCAAACGTGTATTATATTTAATGTTAAAACAAATCGTTTCGTTTACTCCTAAAACAATGTACAGTCTTATTTAAACAAATAATACGTATTACGAATTATTATTATCTAAACACATAACTAAATAGATAATTTACATTGAAATAGTAAGTAGTTTGAAGAAGCTATAGGTACAGTTCGAAAGACAGTAATTAGCTTCAGCTGCTTGTTTTCGTCTTCTTTAATATGGCCGGGATGGGATCCTGGTTAGGGTAACCTGGGTAGAAATCATGTTTAGAAGTGAATAAACTAAAAACTATAAAAAATCGCAACATTCGGGACGATCAATTCAGTATCGGGCATTCGGGAGTCTCAACGCCTTTTGAATTAAACGTCCTACAAAACGACGGGCTAAAATTAAGATTAAAAAATGTGGTAGTTTTGCGAATTTTTATAGCCTTTAGAGTAAATTAAAATTCCACATTGTGAGTTCTATGGTGTGGTGCTGCCCGTGTGAAACGCACCTTTTAAACATAAATAAACGAATTCAACTGAAATCTATAGCATTATATATCATTTACGTTAAGCCATGCTTTTTCATGGTTAATATCAATATTATATGAACGAAATAAAACGAAGGATGTAGGCAAAATTAGGAGAGGTGCAAGATAAGGAACGTTTTTTTATATAATCAATATGTATAATTTAATGTAATTGTGCTTCACAAAATCTCATCAACACAGAACGACTCCTAAAGTCTTGGTGATGCCGGAAAACAAACAGATAAAGCCGCAACAGTATAAACATATTTTTTTCTCTACATAATAACATTTAATAATTATTATGATTTGTGTATAATAATCTTAGAAACTAAGTCTACTGGGGTATACATGTTACGGCAAGACAACAATGAAAGCTATATTGGATTACTGGGAACACATGCAAATAATATTCTTTATGGTATCTAGCGTTTATAAACCAAGTTATCGAAATACTATGGGATTAAATCGCAGTTCCATCTTAGTCTGTCTCTCTAATAAGGATAGTGTTATACTAGACACTACGGAGCATATTTAACACAAAACCAAGACAGTATATGGGGGATACTGGGGCAGCACCAATCACATACCACGCCTTTTAATACACGAACCCATAGAGCAGACACGTTTGTAAGTAATCATTGTAAACTTTATACACGCTTTGTTTTAACGAAGAATAAAATTTATTGTAGCTTTCGGAAATTTTAAGTCGGTTTAAATTTCCAAGTAAGTATTTACGAATTTCGGTCAGTCGCGCAAGATTTATTTTCAATAAAAACATCAGGATATATTTTAGTAATTTACGATTAATCAGTGTTACGTTGTATCGTACGTATTCCTCAGATTTATGAAATCGTGACTTGTTTTTTTTTTTTTAAAACAAATATGTACATGTTTAACATTTAGCTGTTTAATATACAGCGGTTTAAACTGAACTTAAATATTTGTATATTTCGCAGGTCGATAAATCGGGAGCCGGCAATGTAACGCTAACACAGTTTGACGGGTGTCCGCACGTAGAACGCTACAATCAATGAATGCACGAGGGTCGTGTCCGCTCTACGGGACGAGGCGGGCGCACTCACAAGGTGGTGTTCGTGCAGCGGCGGCGGCAACAGGTGGTGCGGGGGCAGCGCGCCCACGAGCGGCGGCTTCACCTCCATCATGGGGAACACGGGCGCGCACACCTATATCAACGCACAACGCACAGCTATATCTCGAAGCGGGTGGCGGCATTTACGTTGCAGATGTCTATGGGCTTCGGTAACCACTTAATCTGGGCCGTGAGCTCGTTCACCTAAAAAAGCAACAAAAAAAAAACACCGCCTGCACACCACCCACACGCCCGCACGTTATCTCCCGCGCCGCAACCTATAGCGCACTCTGCGCGGGACTCGACGCGACCCAATCATTCCACTACCACGCAGTGTAAAGCAAAGTCCTCCAGAGAAATACATTCTACCGTACTTTTCAGGTTTTTTTATACTTATGTAATTATTACCTACGAGTGATATCCGATGCGAAATGTTAGATGAAATACATACATTTGTGGGTTTTTTTTTGTTGGTTATGAAATATAATTAATTGTTGACTATCCTGGTCAATTCCACCATGCATTTCTATTTAGCTAAAAAAAATCGACCTCATTTTCTGTTAAATTTTGTAACTTAAAACTAGTAATAATATTTTTTTGAATAGAGTACTTGTTTGTTATATTAGTTATATATTAAGGGACTGCTAATAGTATATTAAGTAAATTGATGCGATGACAAAGATCACGATTCCTGTTCTATTCAATAAATACATGGATCAAATAAATTCACAGGTACTTAGTTTAAACAACATGTCACAAAAATGAAGCAAAAAGTCTCTCTCTTATATCACAACATTAAAAACTAGTAAATTTTGAACATGGAGAATATCACCACCGCAATAAATTTGTAAAAATGTTGTTTCTTATATATTACAATAATTAAGTGGTACTCACGTCTTGGGCTGGGACGGCATAGTTTCCTTGGATAGTGTAGGCTTGTCCGCCGGCTAGAATCACAGGTCCCGCTACATTTGGCTTTGGTCTGTACGGGATTGTTGCTCCCTTCGGAGGGCTCTAAAAATTTAATGTTCAAAAAATTTTCCAGTCTAAGCAATTATTATATATATTTAATATTATAGTAATTTGTATAATATCAAACTTTGAGATGGTCAAACCAAAAACTACAAGTAGTAGCAAAATCTTCGCTGGACTTTTTTAATAAATCACATATATTACGTCGTGGTCAACAGAGTGAGTTGAGACTTTTAAATAGTAATAAATTCCGTATAAGGTTCTTCATAAGGATCATATTCGGGAAATTAAAGACATACTCAAAACAAAAGAAAAGTGCGCATTTTAAATACATCTGTTGGGTATTTTTATTTTATCATACATTATAATATTTTAATTATTAAATTTTATCATGTTGTTCAATATTATTAAAACGTCTGAACTGAAAAGCAATAGCCAGGTCGATGGCACTGAAACGAAAGGGCTCTTTACGTAGAATGGCATCATTGATTAAGAGACAATTTAGAGATTTTAGGTTTTGAATAATGTCATTACAATCAGTCCAACATTATGGTAAAACAGTGGCTCGGGGATGACTGAGTATTCTAAACTTCAACGAGTAGCTAGAAACACTATTATTATGAAACTCAAACAGCTTTGTTATTAATAATTGTATTAGCTCTATAGTTGTTTGGGCAGAAATAGCACAACTGAATCATCTCTTTTAGTGCCATAAAAGTCGTATTAGAAGCAATTTGTTGGTGGAGTGTGATTTTCGTACAGAATAAATAAATATGAGAGCTGGATTGAGAATTGCTTTTTCTAAATTTTTTGCTTTTATCAAAATAAGGTAGTTTCCGACATCATATTTAAAAAATTTCACATTATTAATTTTAGTTTAGGTGCGTTGAAATTTAAAGTTCTTGAAATATGTTAAAATATTAATGTTGTTGATAAAATTTAATGTTGAATTTTACCTCTAACATAACACAACAAATATGATAAATGCATTGGGTTATAGCATCACAGGTTCCACTGATTGTCACCGCTCGTTCAGTTGAATTCGGCAACATTTCGCTCGCCACCTGAAATCAATAAATCTCACCATTAGAATTTGTATTCGTTGACACCGCGCCAAGTTTTTTTTAACCATAAAATTGACATGCTATACGATTGAGTAACAAAATGTCTATACTTAATTTAATTTATTTTACTGCCAAAGAGGTTAAGCATCCTTCTTTTTCGATAAAACAACAAAACTACATATTTCACCATGATCATTAAATTTAAATTGAGATGTTTCAAGTTTGAAAATCAGAATGGAACTAGATGATGACATTTAGACTAGTTTTATTTTAGTACTTGAATATCGGTCATCCTCCTCATTCTCACCGTTATCTAATTATGGTTAATTTTACAAGGCAGACACAGCTTTTTTTTAATATTGCAGAAGGGATTTCAAAAGCTCTCACCGTTATCTAATTATGGTTAATTTTACAAGGCAGACACAGCTTTTTTTTAATATTGCAGAAGGGATTTCAAAAGCTCTCACCGTTATCTAATTATGGTTAATTTTACAAGGCAGACACAGAAGCTTTTTTTCAATATTGCAGAAGGGATTTCAAAAGCCTACACATCGAGGGGTGAAGGGCTTTGTAATGAAAGGTACGTTTTATTTGATATTAGTATCAACAATTCAATGTTCTTAATTTAACTTCAAGTTTACCCTATTCAAATATATTGTAAGAGTACTACTATTTAGGGTGTAACCCAATAATATTTCGACAGGTGCAAAGGGATAAACATTTTAACTCAGTTTTAGCTAAATATGATTAACAATTTTATGTCCTTGCATGTGTCGATTTAATGTAATTTCTATCCGGACAAAAGGATTTAATATTAGAGTTACCTGAATGTTGGCACCAGTGACATCACGGATTTCCTTGATTTTTGAGCCCCCCTTTCCAATAAGCGAGCCACACTGCGAGGCGGGCACAATAAGCCGCAGCGTGATGGGAGCACGCGATCCGCCGCCTCCGCCCTCATTGAACTGAGTGCACCACTGTATCAACATACTAACATTATTTATCTTTTCAAACAACAACATGAATTACTGTCATCAGATTCTTTATTAAAACAATATTGTCACAGGTTGTTCTATTCATTAAAAGCAAAATGTTTGTTTGTTTGTTTTCTAGTGGTTAAGTGTATTGCAAGTCCACAACTCTACATATTTCTGCCACAAAGCAGTCAGTTTTATATTGAGGGGTGGGTCACACAATACATAATAATATGAAAATGATAATAAATTTTCAATACATGTATCTTCAATTTCATTCATTAGCATCTCTGCTACACTGTTATTTATATAGTATAGTATGTTATTTTATAAATATTATAGTATAGTATTTTATTATGGTGCTACAAAGCTAATAGAAAATTAAAACTAACCTCTTCAAATTTTTTGCATATGAGTGTGAATGCCTTGAATATAGCAGTTGTGTTTCCTGTGACAGTAACAATACGCTCCGGGCATGATCCATCAGAAATATTAATTTTAGCACCGGACTGAAATGAAAATTTAAATTAATTCATTTTACCTAAATATTTGATATTTATAAAATTCTAAATACACATGTATTCATTAAAAATATATATATGTCTGGGCTTACCTCTTCTCTAAATCTTTTAACAATCTCTCCTTTTTTTCCAATAATGCTCCCAACTTCCTGTTAACAAATTAATTTTATTTGAATAACAAAAAGCCTGAACTGTCATTGTGTAATAAGAATGAAAGTGAATAAAACTATCACAGTAAAATTTATAGCAATGACAAAAGATTTCCTGTCTGGGTTCGAAAATAGATGTAACATCAACTGATTCTTTGTAGCTATCAGACGCATTGAGGTTGCACGTAGACAGTTTTAGAACTTTAAGATGCCAGTTCAATCTTTCACACAGTGGCATGTCGACTCCCACAGTATGCCAACAATGCTCTTGCTCAACATGTGTCTCGATTGATAAATTCAACTTCAAAATAATGCATTAAGTATCCTATATTTATTATTATTAAATGGAAACTACAACATTATTTTAACCAAAGTTGAACAAACAGGGTATAAAGAAATGTTTTTAAACAAAAACAAAAAAACAGATACATTACAGCAATTAGAAAAAATACAAATCAATATGTTTAATGAACAGGGCAAGTGCCAATAGTTGGCATTTTGCCAGTTGTACTTTGTATTGGATAACAGCCAATTAAAAGTACCTATATGTAAAAGTCAGCATATGTGGATAGCATCAATACATCTCACATGTCAGGGTAATCTAGTCACATCTAGGTGTGCTAAATTAGCAGAGGAGTTGAGCAATGTAATTCAAAATTAAATTTATAATTTAGTGTCTTTGTTGTAGTACACAAAGATTAAAATATATTTAGATCTTCAGATATATTTAGATTCTTCAGTAGCATGCATAATCTAAAGTTACTAATAACTATGAAAGCACCAAATTAAACTAATAAAAGACATAAATGATTACATTTTTTTTAAATTCATATAATTAAGCCAACATGTCTGCAAACAGGATTTTGTGTTCAGAAGCCATATACAAGTGCACCTTAACAAGATTGTTGTCAGTGAAGTTATATTAGATTATAATATTATGGTCAAACCGACAACTCTTTACAAGACATAATTGATAAGATTAAGAGAAGTGTGAAAATTATAGTCAGTGTTCATATACATGCAGATGTAGTACAGTTTTAGCAAGATAAAATAAACACATTTTTCTAACATGCAATGGATTTAGTTTTAATTCAACCAAAATTTCTTCTGAACAAGTTGGCTGTTTTGGTTTTAGATATGGGTGTGATACAAAGAGAAGGTAAAACAAACATTTTCACATATCAAACATAAAAATAGATTGAAAAACTTTAGCACTGCCAATTTATAGTTAAAGACTATTTTTATCTTACCTTCCCCTGCATAATCAGTCTGATAGTGAGGATAACTTTTGAGTCTTCCTCATGGAGAGAAGGGGCTTTCTCCAGGTCCATGCTGGAGGTTGTGTCCGTTGTGTCACGTGGAATTTTGGCTGCTTATAGGGCTATGTGTGGGCAGACACAGGGGACACTCCACTCAAACTAATGGCTGGGACTCTGGGGCTCGTGGCACGAACTGCAGGCAGGGTAAGCTGGAAAACAGGCGTACATCTCAAAGGATAGTCCATAGGTTTTGAGCGTTCTAAGGATATTGGAAGTGAGCACTTGTTATCGTAGAAAAGCAAAGCCGAATTCCTATTATTTATTTACAATAGTGGTAAGCGTAACGGATTGAGGGCGGCAAATGGGGATCTAGATACTATAGTAGACTAGCTAGTTCCAGTATAACCAAATTTCGAGGACGTAAATCAAGTCTGCCTGTTATATCCTAAGGGACCGTTATTTGAACTCTGAATACGATTCGCGGTTAAAGACATAACCTTAGCGTCACCCTCATGGTTCGTCGTCCAGGTTATCGATCCCACAAATTCCAAACAACATTCCACAGAGGCAAAATATGCATTTTTTTCTTACCTCGTTATTTTTTCGACATACAAAAATCCATAACAAATCTTAAATCTATTATTATCATCGAAATATATTTAAAATCACATGTATCACAATTATTTCTTTGTCGTTTTTAAGTGTGTAATTAAAAAAATTAAAATAAAAACCCGACAGTGACGCGTCGGTTGTGGGCTTGTGTAATGTCATAGATATTTTTTTGGCTTCTAAGTATTTTTGGTTGTTTCGTCTACTGAATAAGCAAAGGGAACATTGCCTATTCTGCCAAAAACTTGCAACAAAGATTGAATCCATGTGTAATGATTAAAAGTAAATTTAACGATTAATATTAAATTGAATTGATTGACATAAGATAAGCCAACATCTTCAGTGTTGAATGAGATATATCAAATAACGAACTATAAAACCCCTTAAATGAACGTGTTTAAAAAACTTGAGTAGCCACGTCCTGCAATTGTGTTGTATTTTTTCGCTTGTGATAATAAAAAATGGTTGATGATCCACAATTGCTGCCTGAAGCGCTGAATTAAAAAAATTAAAACAATTTTAGCATAGCTTGATATCTCGTGTTTCTTTCAAAATTGGGTTTTGAGTCTGTTTTGATGTTTTATTTTACTTATGGTAGTAATTTCAATGTGTACAGGGGTAACATATATCCGCTGAAACTACCACCGGATTGGAATTGCAATCTACTGAGAAGATCTAACGAGAAACTCAGTACTCACACGAACTCACATCTCACCTGGTGTTAAGTGGCTACGGAGCCCATAGACATCTATAAAGTAAATGCACCACCCACCTTGAGATATAAGTTCTAAGGTCTCAGTATAGTTACAACGGCCGCCCCACCCTTCAAACCGAAACGCATTACTGCTTTACGGCAGAAATAGGCGGGGTGGTACGCAAATTATAATTTTGCGGATTTGATTTTTGTTACACGATGCTATTCCTTCGCCGTGGAAGTCAATCGTGAACATTTGATAAATATATTTTAATTCATCAGAAAAATTGGTACCCGCTTGCGGGATTCGAACACCTTTGCATCGCTAGATACGATTGCACCGGACGTCCTATCCTTTAGGCTACGACGACTTCACAAAGCCACGACGACTTCAAAAAAATGTGTTGGGATATGAATTATATATCAACATGATAACCGCTCAGTAGCTGTAAAATATATTATACGCAAATTGACATAGTGTTTCGAATTCTTCGAAAAAGTCTATTGAAGATTTTAGTGAAATAGTGATAAAATAAATAAATAAATAAATAATAGTGATAAATATTATAAGTCCCACTATTTTACTTTAGCCTTACCGTATAATTCGTTTTGTCGTATGAGCTTTAATTCCTTTGCCCATTAAAATCGACAAAATAGACAAAAAATATTCTATGGAATGGAAGAAAAGAGACTTCGTTCTTTGGCGGGAACGCGAAATAATATCGCCTTGCTTCTTTACCATTCACGCCGGTCTCTCTGCTATAACCAAATAATTCAATATGGTAGATAATTACGATCAATTTTTCCGTCCCATGTCTCGCTCTAAACGAGATATAAAAGAGAGAAATATACATTATGATGTATCTTGTATCAAAAAGATATTAACATAGGTATATGATAAATATATATGTAACAAAATTTGTAAATTAAATATATTTATATCTGTCTTTCTATCTCGCCTATTTATTTTGAATGATATTTTTTGCATCACTCTGGCCTAAACAAATTTTCCACTATTTACCCTCTATAGCTGAGGTGTTTAAATGTATTAGATTTTTTGTCTCTGTTCTAATATAAAATCAGATCAAGCAATCCTGTGTTACCTCCTCTCTCAAGGCTTTCAGCTTAAGTAGGTAAAAAAAAGGGATTTTTTTTCCTACCTAATCTAAGAGCCTCCTGACTTACCTAAGCTGAGTAGGTGAGCTCACGGGGCTTAAACATGACGACGTTGCTAACACGAAACCTAGCAAGAGCCGTGCTTCGCAGAATCTACCACCGGATCGGAAACGCGACCCACTGAGAAGACTCGGCGAGAAACTGTGGGCTGTGTCTGTGGGCAAATTTACTAGTCGAGCCCTTCGTCGCAAGCGATGGGTTCGGCGAGAACGATGACCGGTGCTTGAGGTACCTAAAAGCACCGTTATTGGATGGGGAGGATCCGAAATGACGTGTTTGGGGCTACGTCGACTGTTTTCCATTCTGTCCGCAGGATCGTGAATGTAGTTACCGGCGGCCACGATGAGAGGGTTCTCGTGTCGTACCGCTCTGACACAGGCGTCCATTTATATCGGACCAGTGCTGTTCTCGTCCACCCTATTGGCTGATTTTCTACTCGTCTTCTTTGACATCTCTCCTGTTTCCTATGTACTACCTACTCGATAATTTTTTAAACTATTTTTTTCTTTTGACGCGACTTATCTACTTTTTTATTTCAGTAAATTGTTTTTACCTTGAATCTCGCCACTTCAATTTTGAGACATCGCATGACTGCTTCGCGGTAGAAGTCGCCAGATTAGTATTATTATGCATTATGTGTAAGAGTTGAAGTAATTATAATAAACACATAATATATAACATTGATGAAAATTCTATCCTTTTCCGGTAGCAAGAATTTTCCTTAACAACGCTACCTAAAGCTGAACACGTAATAACAATTTATTTCATGTTATTTAATTCGTTCGCTGGAATCAAGAGCTGCTTAACTCCAACGACCTGTTAACTGCAGGAATATCATTAATCGTAGAATTTGTTAACTAATTCCAAGTAGATCCTTTTAACGTTAGTAGAGAATTTTTTTTCGAATTTCAAGTTTGAGATGTCAAAGTCTTATTATCAAAATTAAAATGGGTGTGTTTTACAAGTAGGGATTGTTTGCAACGCACTCTAAAGCGGACAGATTAGTTTTCCGGGCTGACTCAACCCCGGGACTTTGTTCAGTTGTGATGCTGGAGGAGATGGGAATGATTTTGGAGCATTTTATCGGCATTTACGCCGTCTAACACCTCGAACCAGGTGTAAGTCTCTCGCCAGCGCAATACGGCTTCTGGGATGGCCATTCTACCAATGACGCGAGAAAGTAAGTGTGTGCTCTTTCGGACGAGACCGTTTTCTGGAGCGAGGTGATATTTGGGGATGATCCAAAAAAGTCATCATTATCGTAATAATGCATTTTGATGCTTTACGATTATATTTAGTCATAGTAAATTAATAATCGAGTAAAAATCGGAAATAGCATGGTTGTAAAACACAAGCATTTTTATCATTAAGGGATCAGAAAAGCCCGTTTGACGATTAATCCGATGTCGACGGATCAGCTTAACAGAACTCAATGGCCATTTATTTCAAGATTATCTTTAGGTCACGGTATAACATGGCGATGAAATATATTTAATGTACATAAATATATGTGTAAGAATGTTTCGTGGAAGTGAAAATTTCGTGGAAATCTCGACAATGATAAAATCATTTTAGGTTTATTTGTGGTTTTCTTATTGGTCATGTACACGTCTTGTAGACCGGATAACCACAAACGTTTTAATTTTTGGTGAAAAATATATACCTACAGTTTCAGAGTTTTCTAATTTATTTGTATATCGTTTCTCTCACCACAATAGTACTTTCGTCAGTATTACTCTAATAATATTATAAATGCCATTAGGACCAGAGCCGTTTATTGCCGGTTCATTTGATTTCAATTGTAGTAATTCCTGTCTTATTTCATATGTAGTGAAAACTAATTTATTTCATCAGCCCACAGACGTCCACTGCTGGACAAAGGCCTCCCCAAGCCTCGCCACAAAGACCTGCTGGATGCAGGCAGTGCAGAGGACCGCTTAAACTAATTAAGATTAAAACTAATATCAACTAACTGTTATTTAATCCATCGGTTCTAAGGTCGATAGACTATAATAAATCTGTATGTACAACGGAGATTGAGTTTTATGTGCTGTTATGTATAACCTAAAGGTACTGTTATACATGTTCTAAAATAGCTTGCTAAAAAGCGTGCTATTGAGTATGCTCAATACGAGCATGCTTATGAACAGTTTACATTTGCTAGCAATAGGCATGCTAGTTTTAAGTATGCTATTTATTTATGTATTTTCCGTATGTATTTGTATTATACCTGTTGCAAACGACTGATCGATACTAGCATGCTCAATAAGCAAACCAGTTTAGACGCGCTTAAAGCACGCACCCTTCCACCCGCGCCGCAGGTAGCATGCTAAAAAATCGCACGCCTGTTGATTTTTAAGCAAACTCGAAACGAGCATGCTACTTTTGAGCAACATTCCGACACACATGCTACTAAGTAGCAACTGCTCAATAGAAGCATGCTTTCATGCTTGAAACGAGCATGTGTAACAGTACCTTAACTAAACAAAACAAAAAAGTTTGGTAACAGGTAAACGGCCATGTGTACCACACATATTTACCGTACACGAGTATTTCATATATCAGGATAAGGGCTCATACTTACATGTTAATAAAGCGCTTTCGTTCTTATTTGCGAAACGTAGCTCGGAATTATTTTCTTTCAAAAATCTGAAACAAAAAGAAACCCATATTCATATCAAAGAATTCACGTTCATGCTAACAGGAATGTATGATTCGTAAATGGCGTTCTTTTATGTGAATAATTTCGATCCTTGAAAAATTAGGTTAATAAGTTGGGAGTTCGTTCATTTTTCATTGAAGCTAAATTAAAAATGCTTTGAAAAGTGAGATTACAACCACAAAATAATATATAAAAACTGTCAAGACCACATTAAATTATGATATAAACTATTTGTAAATAAGCTGTGATTTCTAAATTTTTAAATCTATTCTAAGTAAAGATTGAGTAGATTGTCAATCGATGGATAATGAATAAGTATAATTTTATAGATGTCAATTGTGATTATCTTCATAATAGATCTCGCTACTTAATTAAAAAGGAATCAATTTCTTGATTTTCTAAATTTGTCTATTTAACATTAAATATATTATAACATATAATCTAAAGAGTCAATAAGATTCATCAAACTTCTCGATTATCCAAATATATAGGTTAATTAATATAATAAATACTTTTGAGTATTATTTTCAGACAACGCCGTAAAGTTTTTAAAGTATTTTTCCATTGAAAATTTTCATGGGATGCGTTATTGAATTTTAATGTTAAGT